ACAACGAAAGGCGCTATTCTTATCTAGTTATCATAACAGACCAGATTGTGTTAGAAAGCACACATTAAAACTCTATCAGGTGTTTTTTAAGTTCCCGTCTGACGTAGAAATGATCACCAAACAATATGATATATGTCCAGGTTTTGTACTTTTCCAAACAACATTACATCTTGTTCAAATACAAGCAGTCTCTGAAAGGAAGTGGCGAACAGCTTTGTGTGCTGTTCTTTTTTAGATTGTGTAACAGAGGAGTTTATTAAAAACAAATTCTATGTTTGAAGGTTTAGTTTCGGTGTGTTTCATTATTCTTTGTGTTTCTTTATCTCTGCTGGTGATGAATGGTGGTCGTGCCGAGCACTGGTTTCTTTTCTGACCTGCAGGTTCAGCCAAGGAGCACTCGGCTGGTTGGGTAAAGATCTTGGTTTCGGTGAAAGGTTAATAGAGTAAACATGTGTCATGCTTCAAATCACTCTAGACTTTTTCATTATCCCCAAGAAAACATTCTTTCCCTACTGTACCTTTAACTAAGTGTAAGTAAGAGATTAGGGAACACAAATCAAATATAATGTCATTAAATATTTCGCAGATATGATTTTTGCGACTGGAAGGATATAAATTAACCTTATATTGATACAAATTGTAATCATGTTGCTATATTTGTTTTTAAGTAACTTCTAGGTGACTGTTTGGCTTTAGGCATATCATGTTTTAAGAGAAAATAACCATATTCAAAGTGTTGCTATAGTTAAAAGCAGAGTGTTTTCTAGACGACATCGTGAAGTATTGAGATTCAACTTAACTGTATTTGAAAGGCCTTAATTACATCACAATTCCATAAACAAGGGTGTCCAAATGCTTTTTAATTCCTGCTGTTGCCTTTTAAGCTGTGATTTTAATGCATTTTTACATAGCAGATGAATTACATAGCTTTCCTTTTTATCCACCTGCATAGCGTTTCTAAACACTGCACCCTCCTTTGTAGTGTTTCAAATTCTCTCCCAAAGAAAGATGAATGCTTACCAAAGAAACTAATACCCGCACACTATGTTTGGTTTGTAAATCCGAGCCAGTGTGGTGTTTCAAATCCAAACACAGAGACTAGTAAATTGGCTTCAAACGTAATATAGCTGCACTGAAGTTCTCAGAATGTTATCCATGTACTGTCGGTTTAGATTGCATAACCACTCTGTACTGAGTGCAGATTTTGTAGACGCCGTATTTACTGAAACACTGATTTATCACCAGCCAGAGGCTATAGGAGAACATACATAAAGTTACATAACGTATGTATTATTGGTCTCTGCGGAGGTCCTCCTGGTAATTGTCATCTTCATTCGTAAAGTAAACAGATAATTAAATGTTTTGTTTGACATGATCTTTGTAAAGGTCCTTACACACCTAGCCGATTTCGGCCGCCGATAGATGTTGATAAATGTCGATAGATGTCTGGCCGTCGATGAGCGTCCTGTCGCCCTACTCAGATTGGTGAGTCCCGTGTGCCGACACCTTCCGCCGCCGATTCAACATGTTGAATCGGTAGGCTGTCAGTAAAAGGACTTCGTCTAAAGAAATCACTCTGATTGGCTGTTCAGCTTAGCGAATCAGTGCATGAGAAGCGAAACGGAAGTGAGGGACCCAAACAAACTATTAAGAAGGCAAATCTGAAATGTAATTTAACTCCAGCTCTCGACACAGGTTCGGGAAAGCCCCATGAGCTTCTCGCTGTAGAGTGAAAATGGAACGCACATGCTATTTGTTGTTTGTTTATATCACGCAGTCTGTTCTTCCGTCTCTCGGTTATCACGCAGTCTGTCTTCCGGATGTTGCCTTTTTTGAATGACGAATACACACTACCGCCGCCTGCTGGTAAGGGGAGTTATTGCCACTCATGCATACGCAGTTCGTACGTGCTACTTGGCCGTTGGCTGAAGTCTTTGCGGTGTGTTCCAGTGCGAAACATGGCCAAGACGCAGGAGACGTGAGGAGACGTGAGGAGACGTTCCGTCTGGACGTGTTCTTTGGTGTTCTTTGGTTTCAGTTTGGTGTGTAAGGACGCAGGAGACGTGAGGCGACACAACAGTCGTGTTCTTTGGTGTCAGATTGGTGTGTACTGTAGGGGCCTTAAGACTGAGGTCACACAGGGGACAAACAGATGTGTGCTTTTATTCATAATATATAGAAAAACAGGTATAACTCTGATTCAGGAGTTTGACCCTTTGAAGCATTTTAAAAGACGCTTTCAACAATTGTTTTCAGGTGCTCCTTCTTGATGTCAGTCTTATGTCATAGAGGGAGCAGGGTAAACTGACAGGGTATTATAGCTCATGAGGTGTTGATGATGTATGCCAGACAGAAGTAAGCCTACTATGAAATTTTTTAAGAGTCGACATTCTTCTCATGCATGAGATTACATAGGGCAGAGACATAAACAACGTATAAGCCCCCAAAGACCTAATGTTTAACTTTTAGAAACTATTTGTTTCTTAACCAAGGGCCAATTGATCCTCAATGACTGAAATGTGATAATGAACAGAAATATTGAGTCTACCATTGTGCCCACAAAGTCATTTAAAAATGGAGAGAACTGAGGAGGAGTCGACAAGGAAGAAATACAATTCTTTTTGTGAATTCCTCTGTGGATTCGGGGCTTTATTCAAGCTTCATATTTCAATTAAAAGGTGTAATGAAGATCTTTTGATATTCACAAAGCTTTCTTAATAACATGTTGGAAAGACATTCTGTTTTATGAAAGAAAAAACTCATTAACAAGACACTTTATCCCTAAGGATAATAAAAAAAAATAAACTTCCAGAGAGTCTGAGGAGAGCTTACAGAACCTCCTGCCCGTGAGTGAAAGGGAAACATAACGGAAATAATTCAGACTGACTGCTACAGCCACTGGAGACACAACAGGCATTCCCATGATTCCCGGCCCTAGACACACCGTCCGCAGTGGAGAATGGCGAACAGGGTCTTCATGTTCAGATGAACAAATGAGACAATCTGAGCCTGGAGCTGTAATAATAGGACAGGGAGTCTCCGGTGAACATCTCAAAAACAGGAGATGAGGGTAAACGTGGTTCAGTCCAGCGTGAAGGGAGACATCCGTACTGTCAGAGAGGATGGGGGGGGTTGGGTAAATCAGACACATAACATGAGGGGAGGCTGGTTAACTGGTCAACAGAAGCCAGAGGCATCAGAAACTTCCCTGGCTGTGGTTGTGATGGCAAGATTAGCAGAGACTCACGCAGAGATCATTGAGAAAACTTCATTAAACCACTAAGCCAGTTCAACAGGCCAGCAGGAAGTGTTAAGGGAGGAGGGTCCAATCTGCACCACTTATTACAAGGGCTAAAGGAAATGAAAGAGAGGAGAACTGGACAGTGACTGCAATGGGAACGCAATAAAGATAACTATCCTCACTATCAGCACATGGATCAGATGAGCTTAATAGCGGCTGGATACCCACAGCCAGTTGGCAATCATGTGCTTTCGCAATGGAAACTGTAATAAGCATCCACATTGTTAAATGTCACTTGGAAACTAAGGCGGTGCTAAAGATGCAAAGGCAACAAAGTGAGGGGATTGCAACAGTGGAAAAGTACTTTCTAACAAGGGAAGCTATGAGAGAGACAGAACATTTAGACAATGCAATAGTAGGTGATTTTAAAGGGTCCATATTATGCTTATTTTCAAGTTCATATATAACCGCTTAGAGATGTCACACCCCTTAGCTTCTGAAACGACAATGTGTTACATGGTGATGTCGCTTTGTTTGACACTGAAAGCTCATTTTGGATAGATCTGCCGAGGTTAAACGTTTCTCTGAGTTTAAGAAATGAGCATGACATTGTGACGTCACAAGTCCAATGCAAGTGTGTGTTTAAATATATGCCTTATTCATACACTGAGAATGTACTAATTAGTGAATTATTTTAATTACAAAATTAAGGAGAATGATCTGATGCGATACAATGTGCTTAAAGCAGCATTTTATGCTGTTATCATTTAAAGCATGGGGACTTGTGCTTCGTGGATTAATCCAAATGACATGTACAAATGAAATCTATCCTAGAGATAAATGCAGAAAAATATCTATCTCCAGATTTTTGCTAAAAGTGATGAAAATGAATGTAAGTGAAACTTTTTGAAGGCAGAACCGAAATGTTTGATTACAAACAGAAACACACTTAACTCATTATTTGAGAAATATTAATGATTATAATCAGTTTGTCGCAGCCTGAAAGGTCTGTTTTGATAGTCAATACTGAACCTGCACAAATTAGGCCTGGTGATTCTTTGAGCAAAGCAGATAAACAACTTTAAACAGTTCATCATTGCACATGTAATTGCTTAGCATGGCGAGAGCAAACAACATTCCTGTGTGTTGGTCAATATTCCTATTGTAGCAATAGCTTCTTATTTTAACAAATGATTACCCCTCTTACTTCCTTGAAAGGTATAATTTATTTATCTTGTTACTTTTAATAAAAATATGCTTTCTTAACATTTTGCCCACGACATGAGTGGGAGGACCTGTGGTGATATGGAGGATAATACCAGGAGAAGGGCTTGGCCACCCACTGCAAAAAATACTTAGCCATCATAACGAACAGTAAAAAAAACTCCAGCCCAAGAAGAAAAAGAAAGAAAGGAACAAAACTGGCATTTATTTGTTCCATGGGAAAACGTATTTTTTCTATTTAATAAGCCTATAGTGGCAATACAATTATAAGAAAGTATATCTTCATTTGCACTGGAACCATGGAATAATCTAATTACTAATAAACATACATTATGATATTACTTTATTAAATAATAATTTGTAATGTCAGTCCTTGTATGGTGTCAATGTGTGCTTGGGGAGATATCCCTACACCAAATGATTTTTTGAGGTGTGTTATTTTTTTGCAGTGTGTCCACTTTACGCACACGCTTTCTGTTATTCGATTCGAGTTTAAAAGCCCCGGCAGCAGCCACAAGTCACAGAGCAACGGATTCCTTTCTGAGAGCATCAGGTAGCTCCATATACGGGTTGGAGAGGCACCTCGCAGCCCCTCTGGCACTGAATCTGGTAGGTCGCACAGAGGGGCAGTGCCATGCACACTCCTGACTATGCTCTGCTCCTGAGCGGAGGGAACCAGTCTCTGGTCTTCGGTCCCAGTGGTGACCTAACTATGGAGAAACCTGGAAACAACACCGTCCACCCGAACCGATCCGATCCGTACTCGCGAAACGAGGAGTTGGCCCAGATGGAGATCATGATCCTGAGCATCACCTTCGTGGTTGCTGTGGTTGGGAATGTGAGCGTCCTGCTGGCAATGTACAACACGAAGAAGAAGATGTCGCGGATGCATCTTTTCATCAAACACCTGAGCCTGGCTGACCTGGTGGTCGCCTTCTTCCAGGTGCTGCCGCAGCTCTGCTGGGATATCACCTTCCGCTTCTACGGTCCAGACTTTCTCTGCAGGATCGTCAAGCACCTCCAGGTGATGGGGATGTTCGCCTCCACCTATATGATGGTGATGATGACCCTGGACCGTTACATTGCTATCTGCCACCCTCTGAAAACCCTGCAGCAGCCCACGCAGCGCTCCTACATCATGATCGTCTCCACGTGGATGTGCAGCCTCGTGTTCAGCACTCCGCAGTACTTCATCTTCTCCCAAAGCGAGTTCGACAGCTCGAACGTTACCGACTGCTGGGCGCACTTTATCGAGCCGTGGGGCCCCAAGGCTTACATCACCTGGATAACAGTGAGCATCTTCCTCATCCCCGTGGCGCTTCTCATGTTGTGCTACGGGTTCATCTGTCACAGCATATGGAAAAATGTCAAATACAAGAAAAGGAAAACGCCGGCTGGTGCTGCGAGCAAGAACGGGCTGATTGGGAAAAATTCAGTCAGCAGCGTTACAACTATTTCAAGAGCCAAGCTGAGGACTGTTAAAATGACTTTAGTGATCGTTTTGGCGTACATTGTCTGCTGGGCGCCGTTTTTCATAGTGCAGATGTGGTCCGTGTGGGATGAGAACTTCCAGCTTGTTGGTGAGTAATGAATACATTAAATGTAGTTATGATCACTTGATTCAAAACTGTTAACAGCTTGAAGAATGTTGTCAAAACATTACAGCCCAGATAAAGAACCATGTCACTTGAAACAACAAAAAACCTCACTGTGCGTAAAACACATATCCACAGCCTTTACGCACGGATATATTTGGCATACAAAACCCATAATACGTCTAAAAAAAAGTACACGTCTAAAAATTAAGAAACAAACTGTTTAAACAGACTGTCTGAAACAACATTTAAATAATATAACTTAGTGCAGCACTGTGAGCCTTAAGGACTAATAGTTTTACTGCAGATAAAGTAATGTATTCTTAAGATTAAGATGCCTCAGCCATTTGCTCCTAAAAAAAGCCATCACCCTTAGACTCATACCACCACGTGTAGTCTCCTATTCTGACTGATACATATTCTTTCTTGAAACACGTTGTTAAATGTAATTGGGTCATCAAGTTACACTAGCTTGGTGCTTTTGTTTGAACTTTTCTGGGACAGAATCCACTTGCAGCAGACAGATTAGATCACTAATATCAAGAGAATGACACCTTATCCAAAAAGTCGTTCATAATGTGTTATTGCAACAGAAACGTAACTTTTCGGGCATGTGCAACAAGTATAGATGTTCTGTTATTTGATTTCAAAAATAAGTGTTTTTACATTTGACACCAGATAAATGATCTTTCACAACCATTTTTTTGCAGCCAGCTTGAACCAGATGTTTTGCAGATGAATCACCTCTTGCCTCTTTCCTCTCTCTGTTCTCCAGATTCTGAGAACACAGCAGTGACTCTGTCTGTGCTGCTTGCCAGTCTCAACAGCTGCTGTAACCCATGGATATACATGATCTTCAGCGGTCACCTCCTCCAAGATTTTATGCAATGCTTCTCCTGCTTCCAAAGACTGAGCACTGACTTCAAGAAGGAGGACTCGGACAGCAGTATCCGCAGAACAACATTACTGACCAGGTTGAACAATCGCAGCCCCACGGGCAGTCAGAGCAACTGGAGAGAGCTGGACCTTTCTCCAAAGTCCTCCATTCAGGCGGAGTAAACATGCAGCCAGGCAAATCTGTTTACTGTCGTGGGAATGAAATTATATCTGGGAGTGGCATCAAGGTAAACATACAGAATCAAGACTTTTTAACGTTGGGCATGACTGACAGTGACTGACATTTCCCCCAAACAACAAATCAAGCTTTTTGCATGGACATTTGGAAACAGAGTGAAGAAATATGTTGTCGACTGAGAATTGTGCAACATGGACTGAAAATACAGATATGTTTGTTGTTATTTTTCACTAAAAATATTGGGAAAGGAGGTGAGAGTAGAGATTTATTCCTACATGTTCAAGCTTGTATGCCACCACCCTTTTTTGTAAAAGCACAAAATGCTGATAATTGGGTTTTGACCTAATTCCGTTGCATTCTGTTGAATTCCTTGATCATTTGGCTGCCCCTGTTACTGTGGTGCCATGATTTCCCTTTAGATATTTTTAGGGGAAAACACATTTCCTTACTTCCCTACTCATGCTCTTAATGATGGTTGTGTTTGCAGTGCCAGTGAACACCCCTTCCTGTTCGGGTGTTTCCAGAGATAAACGTACATGGCAGCCAGGAGGTGTGCTGTGGTGGAAGCAACTCTTCCAGACCGCCTGCTTTTAAGAAACCGAGGCAGACACCTCGTCCTCTGGGCTCAGCTTTCCATTTTTGTGGTTTTTCTCAGAACCACACATTTTAGTGGCTTGTGTAAAAAGAAACCTTTTCCTTTGACCTGTGACAAAAGTCTTAGGTTGCATATATAAATCAGGCGTGCATCCAACTATTTACTAATGATTTAATGTTGCAGCTTGCAGTCCTTTGTGTATGTCTCTAAATAATGGCTTTCATATTTCAGCACAAACAGATGGGACCCCCCTTAAAATAGCAGGACATTGGAGGGGTCTACTATACCGCCCCACAGACCCCTCCCACTGCTTTTTCAAAATGTTGTGGACAAGCTTACACATTCCATACTCTCGACGTCAACACACTTCCTGACTTTTTTCTGACATCCTGCCCCGTTGGGGGGTCTTTTCTTGGGCTTCATTTGCACTCCAGACAAAAACAATCTTCTGCACATTAATGCTTAATAGTTGTCAGACCACTATGACCACATGTATGTTATAAAGACATTTCTATCTGACTGTAAAGTATATTTATATATAAAAGGTCTGTAAATAGGAATAATATAATGTAAATCTGTTCAACATGAATTCTATTTGTCTGTAATGCTTTGTGTACATTGAAAATAATCTACATATACATATATGTTGCAAAATACATATTGATGGACTGATGATTACTATAGGACACTGGTGTTTCCTCCTGTTATCACAACCCCAACACAACTAGCTGCTTTGTTTATGTTTCGTGCAGTTGCTACACAACCAAAAATCTGTGGTGTTATCATTGCTGAAAATTGGGTAATTTTAAACATATATATCTAGCCAATCAAAGCTCTTGATTTATGATTAAGTAAGGAATAAGCGTTGTGAATGGGTTGCTTTTGGTCAACAAGCTGTCGACCCTCATTAAATGAAAATACAATGTGTGAACTTGTAAATCCGTTGAATGTAAATCGTCTTGTGCAACTTTGAAAAAACTAAACAAAGAAAGACAGATATCTAAATCAAAAGGGAGGTGTGGGTGGTGCAGTGGGTTGTGCATTGGTGTTGGGATCAGGGGGTCACAGGTTCAAACCCCACTGCAGTCAGCATGTCGTTGTGTCCCTGAGACACTTCACCCCAAATTGCTCCTGTGGGGATTGCCCACAGTATTGAGTATGTAAGTTGCTTTGGATAAAAGCATCTGACAAGTGACATGTAATGTAAAAAACATGGGAAAATAAAAACCAAATCTGCATTGCACCATTCCCTTTTGTGAGATTTATTTTTATAAGTAGGTTTATCTGCTGCTAGACTCCATCAAAAGTGCAACATAATCTCATGTGATTATGTGAAAATATTATCAATTCTGTTATCAAATTATTCCGTTATTTACTGAAAAAACTCGAAATGATAGACCTCTTTATGTAATGGTGTAATGCAGTGGTATCACTTCATCCAGCAGCTCTTGTAAGCTTGTTTGCGGCATTAAATAATTCCTACAGCATTTCTCACATCATAATCTATAACCAGCTTTCCACAGCACTCTATTAATGTACAACGGTCTTGAGAGCTGGTGATATCGACCCGTTTCCCTTGTAGAAACTAAACCCCCCTTGGTCCTACAGTATATGATTCATTTTATCTCTGACCATCTGACCTCATAACATAAAGGTCTGGCAATCGTATCGCACAGTCGTAGGAAGTCCTACAGGAAATATTGTGAGCTATTTAAATAAGGCAGAGGAAGGTAAGACTTACCATAGAGGATAGAGTTGTTTATTTTACGCAATAAAAAAGAGAATTAAACAAGCACCAGGCAATCCCGGCTGGTATCAACGGGGATAATTCAGCCTGGATCTCTGTGGAGGGAGTAAAGCTGGAGCTCTGACAGACATATCTCAAATTCCCAGTCTCTGCCTCTCATTAGACATGCCAATCATTAAGTAACATGCTTCTGAAAGGCTGGTCATGCTAACATGATCTCAGCTGAGGTTGTCAGTCAGAGTCTAGACAGAGCAAATACTTGACAGTGCAGACCGTGAATGAGTTTCTCCAGAGAGTTTGAAAAAAAGTTAGCGCCAAAAAACAGACAGGTCTTATTATAAAGGGTCATAAAACAAGTAGCATGTTGTTGTTTGATAGATGTACTCTATAGATATGTATCTGTTGATATGCATGTATTTACGGTTTGTGTTTATTTTCTATTTGTATTTTTAACTCAATGCCTTGTCAACATGCTGCTGTAACAAAACAATTTCCAAATGTGGGATCAATAAAGGAAATCTAATCTAATTTAGTAAAACAAGCTATTTTTTTCCACTTTGAAAATAGACACAGGCCTTTTATTAAAAACATTTCTGTGTCCAAAAGCTCTATGACAAAATGCTACCATAGGTTAAGCTTCATTATTGCCTTCTGTTGCCTTTGGATATACTGTTTTTATTTTCATATTGCCGCGACAAAGGAAAATACAAAAATAAATAAATCAGCAAATCTATAAAGTCCCGTGTTCAAACAGCTTGTCGTGAGCCGCTAGTGAGATTAATAGGTCCACCGGGAGTTTTTCCATGAGCTGTCGTCACAAAGTATCCTGATGTCCTGTGTGTGTTCCCAGCTAGAACATTTTGGTTCTAAAAACATTCTGAGAATGTTACAGTCATTGTTCTAGGAAGGTTTTCAGCGGGGAGTTTTTGTTTGGTTCCCAGAACGTTCTTCTGAAAGGTAGGATAACGTTCTCTAAAAACATTCTTAAAATGTTTGGTGATAACATTGTTAGAACATTATGCCCTCCTATTCTTAAAACGTTTTCAGCGGGAAGTTTTTGTTTGGTTCCCAGAATTTTCTTCTGATAGGTAGGATAACGCTCTCTAAAAACATTCTTAAAATGTTTGGTGATAACCTTCTTAAAATGTTTTTCAAAACATTGTTAGAACATTATGCCCTACTATTCTTAAAACGTTTTCAGCAGAAGCTTTTATTTTGGTTCCTAGAATGTTCTTCTGAAAGGTAGGATAACATTCTCTAAAACCATTCTTAAAATGTTTTTGATAACATTGTTAGAACATTATGCCCTACTGTTCTTAAAACATTTTCAGCTGCAAGTTAGATTTTTTATGTTGCCAGAACGTTATTATTTTAGAGAAGGCGATAACATGGTTTAATGTATAAAGAAATATGCAAAAGTTCTATGGTAAACAATTTACTAAAATATGTTTACATTATTTGAACAAGACCATAATATATCCTGTAATTGTTCAACTCCAAAAATTCACTGGGGTAAGTGGAACTGACCACTGGGTCCTTTAGGAAGATTATGATAGTTTACTTAACTACTTGGAATTTGACTATTAAAGCACTTTGTAAAAGAGATGACACGGAATCAGCTGTGAAAGGAAATTTGTTTATTAGCAAAAGGGGAGCTGGGAGTGGAGGTTGGTTATGGCAGCAGTGAAGAAACAGTTGTTTCCAGGGTGGGTAGAGAGAGGCCCTGGCTGGTCTTGGGAGTGGGAGCAGGCCTGTGGATTCCTTCCTGGGGAGAGACACAAAAATCAGTTGTGAGGCAAAAAGCAGGCCAAGTTGTCAAAGAATATGCTGGTAAAAAGCTAGAGCGGGCACGCAACAAACCGTTCACCGCAAACAATCCCGGCAGGGAATGAGTTGCAGGCTGCAGGTTTTTCATAGTGGTGCTGACGAGCAGGTTGCAGGTGTGGTTGATTGGAGATTGCTTCCCAGCGTGTAGCAGCATACCAGTAGGCAGAGAGGAGACACACAGTAGAAAGAAACACATACAAACACTAACAGGGGTTTCAGGGACGGGCAGCTGACAGTCGGCTCCGTTCTTCTATAATGTCTTCTTGGTTTTCCTAAGTGTTATTCGATCCATAATACAAAAGAGATATGTCATAAACAATAAAACACTTGGGGTAATAATGTTTCCGAACAATGTTATCACCAAACATTTTAAGAATGTTTTTAGAGAACTTTATCCTAACCTTTCAGAAAGTACATTCTAGAAACCAAAATAAAACTTCTCGATGAAACCGTTTCCTAGAACAACCTGAATGGTAACAATTCTCAAAATGTTTTTAGAACCAACAATGTCTAAAGCTGGGGAACTCCAAGACATGCCTACGCAAACATGCAATCATCTGAATTCCGTGCTTGTTTTTTTACTAAAAAGGAAAAGTGGTGACAATCCAGATTTATTTAAACATCCTTTTCAAAGCCCCAAATGGCAACAACTTTGCGTTTTTTAAAGGCGCACTAAAAAAGAAAATCTGACCGTTGACGGCATGACCCTGTTAATATTTCGCATCACAGGAACATTTTATAAAAAATAATAACACTCCTGAAACACATTATGCCAAATGTTGACTTTTCAAAAAATGTTCTTATTTGGTTATCATTTACATTGAGGGAATGTTGCTATAAAGAGAACATCTTTAATGTGTTACGCCACAACGTCCGAGAACACGTCTTGAGAATGTTGGAGGCAAAACGTTCCAGCCTTTGTTGATTATCACATTAAAGGAACATTTTACCTAAAACACTTTTCATCTCAGGCCTCATAACATGCCTGAAAAGCATTTGCAGAAAATGTTGCTTTTGGAGAATGGTTCTTTATTTGTTACCAATGTAACATTGAGGGAACGTTTTATATAGAACATCTTTAATGTGTTACCCCAAACAAACGTCCAAACACTACCTAGAATCGTTGCAGGCAAAACGTTCCACCTTTGTTAACATATCACATAAAGAAGGTTTTACTAAAAAAAAGCGTTCTGTCATGCTCAGGCCTCAATAACCATCCTGAAAAACATCCTCTGAA